TTTACATATTAATCAGATATTCTGTAGAATACAATGTAATCTATTTTTATTGAAGAATTAATTGTTTCGCAAGTCATTAACTCTTCAACGAAATTGTCCGAAATTTTACAATGTCATCTCCAACAAAGTTTACCGTTTTTATAAATAACAGAATGGAATAATGTTATTCTTTAATATGACAAAAGAATGTCTCATACAGCACATGAATGGTTACTGTGACAAATATATATTAGTATATAAAGCTATATATCTGCTGCAAAAATAATTGTTTGAATTCTAAAGAAGCATGCTTCCAAATGCCTGTATGAAATAGATCTGGTTGTAAATTGCCTTAAAAACATGTATCATGTATATCGCGTCAAAAGTAATTCAATGTTTTTATACTAAATAAAATCTTAAGTCTAGGACTTTACAGTGATAGTCAATGCTATAACGTTGTAAAAATACCGATTTCAAAAAATAAAAAGGCACAATTGACTAAGAGTGTAAAAAGAAATTGTGCCACCTGACCGGGACTCAATCATCAGAATACCGTCCCGTCGCACTAGCGATAGAGAGGTCGGGTAACTTCTTTTCCCTTTTCAGGGAGGAACGAGAGTTCGAAACATGCTTTACCGCTGTTATAAAATTGAATTTCTCAAGCTACATGTACAACGTGACATTGATTCGTCGCTACATACCATCGCGGTCCCTGTTGGTCGCCAAATGTCACAGAGTTTGAAAAAATATACAGCCTGGTCGGGACTCGAACCCAAAACCCTCGGGATACGATTATACAGAGCTTTCCACGCGTTAAAACATCTTGCCTACACTATAATGAACAATACCATATAAAACAAATGACATCACATTAATGTGTGATAACATGCAACTTCTCGAGCATTTATATGTTGTTTTTGTAGAATTTTAAAATTTTATTTCAACCGTTTTAGTGACTTTGGCAATCTAAAAAATAATTAAACTAATAGAAAGCTAATGATTGCTGTTTAAAAAGTTACGGTTAGAAAATAAAATTGAAATATAATTCAGCATTATGTAAATAACACATTATCAAATGGTTTCTAAAGCTAAATAGCTATGATTCATGAAATGATTCGATTTTTTAAATTGAAATTGCACGGAACTTCTCGGCAATACTAAAAGATTGTTATTGTTATGTAAAGACACAAAGAAATACAAATAAGTCAAGTGTAACATATTAGCAGGTCTAAGAATTTAGTCATGCAAAACTATTAATCCACTAAGGCACATAAATGAAGGCTTAAAGTAGCTTTTATTAAGTTTGCATGTACATCATATGAACCTAACACCTGTTTCATTATTTACCGGAAATCATGGTGGTGGTTGAAATTTTCACTCTGGATTAAGGCAGTATGCCACATTGTATTTACCAAAGGTCAGTTCAGTCATTGCATCGTTTCTGGTCAGGCTGCAAAGCAGTTTACCAGTTTTTTCGAAAAACAGTATTTTAAAACTGCATACATGGTTTACTTTCGCAAACTTCCCGACGCTGGGCTGCCCAGACACTCAGTTGCTAATTACAAGCCGCTAAGTCGTTTGCCCTCAAACGTCTTCGGTAAAATATGTTTAGTGTTTCAAAAGGGTACATATTTGCATTTAAACTTTGACCTAATTATGTAAACTTGACACACACTGAATTATAAACCAGTTCACAAATTAATTTTCATGCATTCTGATGAAATGTGTACTAACACATTTCCTTTCAAAATATTCCCTAAGTGATTGTCTATTTTGACACAAACAACAAGAAAACGCATTTAAGAGGAGAGCAAATATTTACTCCAGTTATGCAATAGTAATATTTAGGAGGAGACTGCAGTAGAATGGTATGAGCTTTAAATACTTAAGATATCAACTCATTTATTTTCGAAATATATCAAGAAAGAACATTCACCGATCTTTCAAGGAATGTACTCATGCACTTCCCTTATTAAGTGCTCTTATTCACTGTCAATTTTGACCGGAATTCTTTTCCGTTTATAGCAAATATAAAACTGTTTTCTTGCCAGATGTAGATTGCATTGATGATAAGTCAATAAATGTAAAAAGAAACACTAAGTATGCTATATATTCTTCAGAAAAGGCAACATTTGAAGAAAAATAAAAACTGTTTAAACTTAGAATGTTTCATAAATATAACATAGAAAGTATTGAATGCAAAAACGTTGTGTTTTATTTTTTAATCATGTCGACCGTGTTTGTAGACAATTTCTACAGCTCCATTAATTGACTGGTCAATTCTTGATATCTGTTTCTTTCTTCTTCATACAGTATTCCGCTAAGACTCCATGCTAAATCAAACATAAAACAAGACTTATGATATACTTGTATGTCTTCAATACCCTTTCAACAATTTAGTACATGATCATGAATTTAAAGCAAGCAACGAAATATTACCAATATTCGAAAAGTTGCTGCAAATGTAGATTTAATCACTTTCATAATACAAAACAATATAAAAATAGATAAACAAGAAAATATCGATTCAGATGTACAGACATATTTACATATTCAATATTTACAAATATAGACTCTGCGTCCATGATAATAATATTGATAATATTATTAATAATCTTTTTTTAAGTTTGGAATAACTTTTTTGGGTAGCAGTGAGTGTGTGTGCGGGTTGAAAAACAAACACACTTTCATTTTAAGATTATGTTTTTGTTGTTTTTGTTGTTTTTAAGATAATGTCAATCAAATTGTTTGATGATTTTATCCATATATAAGAAGGTAAAATGAAAATAAAGGTTGCTTTTGCGAATACTTCTAAATTCAAAATTTCATCTTTGTATGTTCAAGTACAGTTTATGCAAAATGTCATATTTCATGTTCTATTTACACTTCGTGAACAAGCTCAAACAGAACATGGAACTCTTTTCAATTTGACAGTTTTAATACGAGTTCTGTAAGGTATCCATTTGTTTGTATTATATATTAAATTCTATGTTTTGTATTCAATTTTCAAGAATAAAAATATGCAATCATGGTTAAGTGGGAGTGTTAAACAAAATAATGTTATTATAACCTGTTGGCATATTCTATTTACGTCTCTTAAGGATACAATTTTTCCCGAAACCCAAAATTATATCACCAAAGGGAGCGTTTTTTATTCAGTTGTTAATCAAAGATTTAGCAGAGCGTTTCTTATTCAATTATAAGTCAGATTTAGCAGAGCGTTTCTTATTCAATTGTAAGTCAAAGATTTAGCAGACTGAGATTGAGCCATCCATCATACGCTTGAGTTGACTTAATATCGGTGAAAACTTGTATGGCGACCTATTGCTTCTTTATTCGATACAGAGATGTCATAATCAGAAATGTAAAAGAAATAAACATTACCGACTGAGGAGCCTTGCATGTCTTTGGCTGCAAAAACATTGTCAATGTCTAGACCAACTGCAGAGAACAACAATGGAATGTAGAGTCCGTCCTGGCAGTTCCTAGAGGCGTACTCTTCTGACATTCCCATCACCGTCGTTGCATGCTCGTAGCTCTGTCACTACATTAAAGGGAATACAAGTAAATGTAAAGTCAACTTCATATTGATGCAAACTTGCTTTTTAATATTCACCATAACTTAATCATACATATATCATTACTAAACTAAAAGCATAGCATACATTAGAGTGAAATTTTGCTCATTTGTTCGTTGTGAAGGTGAGTTGCATTAGATATGTGTTTCAAATGACTGACTATTTTAATGTTGATTGACCAATAATTGATGATTAGAATTCTGTAGGATAAAAATATACAAACTACTTTATTTATAAAACTGACCAACTATTTTATCAACTGCATTCTGAAAGGTATTTATAGACATTTCCGTGTGCTTCGTAAGTTATTGAATATTCATTAAAAGTAGATTGAATATGAAATTGGAAACAAATATGGAAAAATGTACACTTGTTCTGCCTTTTACTTTTTCTCCCAAACGTTTAAAACTTTGATGGACTAAAAGTCACTTCAAATAAACTAAACAAAAGCCAAAATGATAAAGCTTCTGATTATGTTGAGTCATGTTGTAAGATAAAAAGCTGGACGAAATCACATTACACGACACTGATTTTATGAGGAATCATATAAAGTTGGAAGTATGTTTGTAAATATTGAAGTATTTCTGTTTTGTTTTAATTTCTCTTCTTTCAAAAATAATCACGGATTTGGCTTTTCAGGCACTTTAGATTCCTGATAACCATTAGAAATTCAACCCAGACAATTGCTATCGAATGAAGATATATCACGTACCAATACTTACAGATATCTAATTAATGGATGAGCGGCTGTTAAACTAAAGGTCAACACTTTATCAGCAAATGAGGATTTTTCTCAGCAAATGAGGATTTTCCTCATAAACATAGTTATCATTTCTAACTTTAAGATATTTGATATCCTCGTTTCATCAAAGCAGAATCTAATATTCACACAAATTAAACAATTGATAACATATATATGGTTTGGTGTTAAAGGTACATTATGCCTTAGAAATGAATAAATATTTACTTCTTTGGAAACGTCAAACATGAGTTTTGTACCGTTTTTAAAACCTTAAATTATGGTTTTAGAGCATGTTAGATGCTTGTTACCTGAAGAAAAAAGCCCGTAATGTAAAATTATCTGTTATAAAAGTAGCAAAATGTACACAAAGAAGGTTTTTGACTTCCACTCAAAATATTAATTCACTTTAAAATATACTAATTGCCCAAAAGCAACAGAATAAGATCAAGAGAACAATTCAGGTAATTGGTAAATGAGTAACTTGCTATAAAACAATACAAAATATAACAAGATTTTTAGAAATAAAAACGAAAGCATAACGGGCTTAAACATCAAAGCCATTTCATTTTTCTTTCATGAATGACATAAAGGTCAGCAGTTCTGCTTACATTTTTTTACGTTTTAGATCGAATAAATGGCAAACTCATTCAAAATGATATAAAATTGTTCTATTTACCAAACCAAACAAAACAATATTATACCTTTTCACAATATTCCCTGACCGTATTTTGCATTTGTTTAAGATTCAAAATTCCAGGTATCGTAAGAATTTTGAAGTCCATAGCTAAGTAGTAAATCAGGCCAAAGGTGAAGAACTTTCGATTTTTGACTGACGGTTGATATATCTGCCCAATCGAACAAGGTTTTGGAGAACACATGTCGGCTTCGGCTGGTGCCAGGTAATATTTAAGTAAGTCCTCACATAATGATGAATTTCCACCTCCGATCATTGCCACCATCTTATTCCCTAATGTCCGATTTTTTGAATCACTTTAAGTTCAAAATAAATCAAGGACATATTTATCAAATAACTATAATTCAAATGATTAATCAGAAAAAATCGTAACCACGTGCATTTATGATGATTAGATTTTGAAACGGGGAAGAAGCATATAAAAAAATGCTGCTTAACTAATAAGTGCAAACCGTATTCAAATTATTTTAAGTTAGCGCCTTTCGCTATGGGTACATATTGTATTCTTGGCTTGCGAGTATAGAGAGAACAAATACGCGATGAACGCAATTGTGATACTAATTATAATCAAAGTGCTGCAGCACTGAATGCGACGGACATGCAACCGGAGAGACATTTAGGGTTTTTTTAGAAAAAAAATAAAACACAAAATATATAACAGAGAAAATTTGTTCCATACAAGGAGCAATATATTTTGTGTCCCAATCTGATATAATCCAGATTTTCTACTTTCAAGCAGAATGAAATATATGCCTAAAACCCTGGTCAAACTTGTAAATCAGTGTCATTATCGATTTATTCCAAGAAATGATATGTAAATGGAAGAAAAAAAACTTTCAACGACATATTTCTAAAATAAAACCATGCAAATAGACTTCAAGCATAATACATTATACCACGGATAAATCCGTGATTATACATGTGAGAATGTTATTTAGAATTGCTTCGTGTTTTAACATAGTGGGCATATAGACAATAAAATATAAGTCATTTGTATTTTTATTTCTTTTGGATAATTATGTACGTCTCATTAAAAATATTTTTGGTTAAAATCATCAGCAATTAATAGTCACCGTATTTTTTAGATTTTTTTTATTTGCAAGGGCCAGAGCACATCGTTTTTATTTTAATCTAAATGTCACAATTTTTTTTTAAAGCACTTTAGTGTTTAGTTGTTCTTTTCATTTTCACACTAAATTACATTTTCAACTTGTTTGCTTCTTACAATTGTATAGAATTTCTAAAAGTATTGCATGTGAACAAAGTAAGTATCCGCTGGTTTATAACATGTATAATGTGTACTCCCTACTGTCCGAAAATCAGCACAGGTAAAGCAGAATCTATTTTTAGAATAGCGAAGGTTAACTCATATCGTGACCTAGAAAATGTATCTAATTTATTAATAACTGCTGAATATTCAGCTAAACCCGTGGTATGAGTCACGAAAATAGTTCTTCTTTTATTAATGCGCGAGTTATTCTAGAGTCCAAAAAACTTTTGATTTGTTAATAATAATGTTTTGTATAATGTAGAAATATTTATTTCCTACTAATAATTTCTTGGAACTCAGAGCTTACACATTTATTATAGTATAATTTGCTGTCCTACTTTTTCGACAGCGGTAAATCGTTTCGGCAGTAATTTGCATAATTGCGCAATAATACTACGGGACTACAACGTTTTTATCAATCATATACGTCCATATTTTAACTTGGATAACTTAATTTGAAATTGAAAAGGCTAAATATTGAAGATTTTAAGATATCCCGACATAGTATGGGAGTTTTAAAGGATCAAATTGATGTACTTTTTCTTGGGCTGTTAATCGGTTGAGGAAACTTTGCGCGAGTGTAGCAGACGAAATCCCATGTAGATGACTTAGCTCTGAACGCGCCTGAGGGCGCGTCCGTCGCAAAAATGCTCTTTACCACAGCCACGTAATATTCGCGAAATTCGTGGCCGCTATATTTTCGCGAAAATTCGTCCCCGCAAAAACGTCATCCTTACATCAACTCGAAATATTGTCATCGCGAAAGTTGCTAAAAGTACAGTAACAGAAAGCCGTGCATTTAAAACTTTATTGAAAATATTTTAAAGATTTACCTTTAAGCATACATGGATTGATGATAACGTTTGCGTGTTTATTTTCTTGTATAAGTAACTCTGTAATTCTTTCAGACATTAAGGTAGCGCCATATGATAAATAGCTATGGCAATATACTCCATACACCTTCCCAGCAATCGTAGCGGGCATTTTCCCGGCATAAATGGGATCATCTGGAATGAACGCTATTTGTGCGGATCCTCCACCGAGCTCAATTAATCCTAGACTCTCCGAAGCTGGCCTTATCAAAGATAAATCAAAGAAACAAGGCAATTAGTATACAAATTATAAAGTCTAGTAAAAATTAGTAAAGTAATAGATTAATACAAATTAATATTTAATTATTTTTTATATATAAGATCTAATCTTTCTAGTGAATAATTATCTTCGACCGAAGATTTTATGCTAACACAGTAGGGCATAAAACTAAACATTATTAGATAGCTTCAGATGTATAGAAACAAATAACGAACTGCAACGAAATATTGGCATTTAAATTATTAACGAAACAAATTATGTGGAAGACAAACTAAATCTATGTATACACTGGCTAATCAGTGACAAGTGTTAAAAGTTATAAAATCAGCCGAAGTGACTAAAGAACGTGTTTATTACTCTTATCTGACACCGAAACCACAGCTTGAAACATATGATATTGACCCATAAACCTAAGATATCTACAAAATACTTGATTTATAATTGAAATTCTTTGTATTCTCTGTTAAATCCACATGATTATACACCGTTTTCATACTCAAAGTAGTAAATAACTCCTGTAATTTCAATCTATTACTTTATCCAGCCGATGAATTCACGTAAGATCTGTGTGTGTGAGGTAGAAATAGAAGACTTCCGACTTTATTCCCAGTGGTAAAGAAAACAAAAGACCAACATGATATAATTTGTCTGCCATACTTCCATGTTTGAATAATTTAATCTTATGAAAGATAGAATAAATATGAGAAAAAATACAATAATGCTAGAAGAACGTATCTTCCCTCATCGCAATAATCTGTATAATGCCATTTTTTTCAAGGAATAAAATCATTTTAAAATATCTCTTTATAATAGAAATGACAAATAATTTGAAGGAACACAATAAACCAAAATTATTGAAACAAAATACAGAAAAAAGGAATCCCTAAAGAAAGCCAACACGAAATAATATTGCAGGCTCTGTTTGACTAAAAATCTGGAAACAAAGTGATCCCTCGGAAGCATTAATCACAACAAAATTACATAAGAATTGCAGACTTGTCTGTTTCTTTACGGTACTGGGAAGTGCAAGTTACAGTCCACGTCCCCTAGCACCGGCTTAAGCAGAATTCAACATTTAAAATGAACTGACAAGATTTGGAATTTTAGAAATATCCGCAGATGTGTTCATATAAATGCATTTTTATATTCATCATCCTTAACCAAATGCAATCGTCATAGCTTTTCATTTAGCAATATGATAAACAGAATTGTGAATAATTAACTCTCTAAGGTATTTATTTGCAATTATTTTGCGCGGAAAGTTGTGTTTGCTTTACTTGTTTGTATATTAAAATGCAACATTTTGACATATAAAATATTATCATCTCAGATAAACATTTAAAAAAGCGCCTGAATGTCATTTTGGGCATTTTCCTTGACATAGATTTTGGAAATACTGCATAATGGGATTATAGTAATTTTCATTCTAAATAAACAAAATAATGCTCATTAGAGAAAAGCCATGTTAAAGATGGCTGACCTGTTGACTTCTTTCTTTCTCATTAACGGAAACAGCCACAGGGCCTAGAGAGAACTAGTTATCATACAATTTTATGGTATCTGAGAGGGATAAAATTATAATAAACATCATTAAATTCATAATTTGATTGGCTACATTTTTCAACATTATATTGAAAAGAAGGCCTAAAACAATGAAAATATGAAAAATACATAATGGGTGTAAAAAGCATAATTTAAAAGACATATATAATACTTCTTATTTTCTAATTTTGACTGTTTTCCTTCTTCTCCTTAAAAAAATTTGAGTTTTAAAGATTTCTTAATCTGCCGCTAATGTAAAACACATAAGAATCAATACTTTATTTGGATAAGTGATATGAACATAAACAATTTTGCATGGCTTATTTACAGTAATCACACATGTACATTCACTCACTGTAATTATGTTTTGTTCTTTTTTTTCATTATGTTTCATTTCAAGATAGGTTATATATCATTATATAATATGCGTTTTATTTTCTTTTGACAAAAATGTACAATTCTGAAGTAAGTTTATATCAACTGAAACTTACAAGATCATTGTTGCGATGTTGAAAGTGGATATGGTTAAATAATTGTAAAATATTGAGAGGAGTTTTTGATAAAGTTATTGCGTGTCGCAATATAACCTCGTACCCATTTTAGTCTCCAAAATCCATATCAAATCCTTATTGTACTTGAATGACCTGTATACAGCTACTGGCGTCTCGTCCAATACGGGTTCAGAGCTCGTATCAGAGCTCAGATCGTACACAACAATACACAATAACATCATAATAAAGTTATCATGGCATTTCAACATTATTTAAACTTTGCAAGGCCATAAAGACGAATGACGCAGGTACAAGAAAAAACACATTACTAGCAAAGGAGAATTGCAATATTGCGTGTAGAACGGAATCAGACTATAGTAAGACATTTAATACCAAGAAATAATACGAGAGAATATTATACTTATTGATGGGAAAATATAAACTTGATATATTTATAAATTCAAGAAGCGTGCTTTGTCTGTAAAGTGTCATTTCTTCTTTAACAAAATATTCTTTTTTGTAGGTCATATGGCAACTTTCCAGCTTTACTGGTGAATGAAACCCTCAGGTACCATGTCGTGCATTCTTTCAGGCACGAACGGGCACCTTAGTAAATCATCCGACGTTTCGTAACCTAGCTGAGAGCTTCCTCACACGAAAGAAGCCAAAGTTCCTGTCGGGAGTCGAACCTTCAGCGGTGAAGGACAGGTGGTTTGAGGTCAACATCATAAAAAACTGGTGTTATCTAAATACCAAGTTATTAAATAAAAGAAAAACAAGCGCAAATTCAATTTATAAGCATTTTTTTAATAAAATTGATGAATAGACGGACTTTAGGCAGCGGAACGGCAAAGTGGAAATAACATCAGATTCCAAATTAGTCATCAAGTTAATTAAAC